GCGAAGTGGAGTTTCCCTGCATCTGAATTGGGAACAATTAATGCTAATATTAATTCAAAAAAGTCCTTCACTAAACAATCTTTCTCTTTATATCTATATGATTGTATATTTTGCACACTTTTTTTTATTAAAAAGTGAAGTCAATTTCTCGTCTACGTATTTACCGGTCCCAAACAGTGTTAAGTCTATGTGCATATGGCTTCTAATATTATGCGCCACTCCTTACACATGTTATATGCGGTCAGTCAATTAAAAAACTAAATAAAATAAATCATAACTTGAATAAACTTTTTCCATTAATGCAAACTTTGTGCTTGTAGTTATTGAACATACATGTCAACCACGTGTAAAAGTTCTACTTTCGTTTTAGAATCGGGTCAATTATTAGTACATTCTGACATAGGGATATCGTTACGGCTTGCATTTTTGTAAAATTAGAATTTTGTGCAGTGATTATAATTATTTTTTAATTCCATTTTTCTCCGAGACCTTTGTATAAACGAACAGTACAGACTTGGTGCTTATTTATATGATTTTACTTGATTGTAGCACAAAAAGGAGGGGGTGAAATACTAGCTGTTTACAATTAAGTGATAGCCGATACTAGGGCAAGGTCTGTTCTTTAGTTGTGTGTTTTAAAAGTCATGCAAGTTATGATAATATACTTATCGATTTTTTTATATGCATGAATAAATTTTTTTTAGAGAATCAATTGCAATGAACCATACACATTTCAGAACTGAAGTAATTATAACATTTATTCATGAGTGCGATACACAACGTCATGCATGTTTCTGACATTCAAAATCCATACATTTAAGGTTTTTTTTTCGGATTAAGCGAAGTGGAGTTTCCCTGCATCTGAATTGGGAACAATTAATGCTAATATTAATTCAAAAAAGTCCTTCACTAAACAATCTTTCTCTTTATATCTATATGATTGTATATTTTGCACACTTTTTTTTATTAAAAAGTGAAGTCAATTTCTCGTCTACGTATTTACCGGTCCCAAACAATCGTTAGCAGAGATTCAGAATTGAAAATACATGTGACCACCTCCCCTGGAATATTCTTTTATCTGATAAACAAAATATACTCCCCGGCCTAAATTCCCTTACTTCGCATTTATAGCAACCTACGAATTTTTATACCCCCCGCTTGAAAAGCGGGAGGGTATATAGTAATCGTTAATTCCGTCCGTCCGTCTGTCTGTCCGTCCGTCCGTCTGTACGTCCGTCCGTCCGTCTGTTACGCTTTAGGGTACCCATCTCTTATCCGCAACTCCTCTTATACATGTACCACTGAGTGAAATTTAATGAAACTTTCACAGAATCTTTATTACATATTGCCATTGTGCACCTCCTATTTTACTTTTTGATCTGACACATATTTTGGGTTTGCCGGCCTTGACAAAACATGGACTTTGTCATCGGTTATAACCATATGGGAGGCGGGGGGTATCATTTAGTGAGCTCATTGCTCACAGTACCTCTAGTTTTTAATTTAGTTTCTTATTCACGCATGCCTTTTAGACCAGTCCTACTGTTATGTATAAAATCACATACATTTTATATGTTTTTGTGGTCTATGTATACTAAAGTAAAATGGTAAAAAGATTCAAATGTAAAGGATGGATTGATTGAAGAAATATGCGTAAGTCTGAAATTAGTCTGTACAACGTACATGATGTACATGTATATATCTTCTTTTTTTTCATTATAGTACCAAAGTGTTCTATTCTAAATATTTTTCTATCAATTTTATTTGTCATCAAATTCAATGTTACGGATTTTTTTTTTCGTGCGACTATAAACTTTAAGATTGTTCCGAAGTAGCGAGTACATGTACAGTGTAGGTAGTTTGTTTATTGATAACACCGGTAGCCGCAGACGAAGAACAATAGGTAATTAGTGCCCATTGTTACGCTGACCACTACAATTTGCATGGAATATACAAGTTGTACCCCGTTCTACCCCGGGGCTGAAGACATGTACACAATACAGCCAAATCACAGGTCGATCACCGATTTTTGATCAATTGAAATCAATTTAAAGGTGTTTTCCTTTCAACTTTTTACCATGCAAAATTAAAATCGATTAATTTGATTATAAACAAAAATGTACTAATAGTAAGATATTACATTAAGTCTCATTTCATTTCTTATTTCCCATTCCATAAAATCAAATAAAAAAAATCAATGAGATTTCAAAACTGATTAAATAAAAAATGATTTTATATTTAACTTTTAAGACAAACTAAATACATGTACCTTTGTACTGGGGATTCTTAACCTCTAATTTTTAATCAGCTCGCCCCATTTGCCGGTTGCACATGCATACAGTGTGTACTTGTACATATGTACATGTGGAGTAGTTTAATTCTTGGACGATCTACAAACGTCTACATAACATTAAAATAAATGAATAAATAAATAAATTATTAATTAAAATGTTACTTTTTAAAAGGGATAAAATTTCTATTTCCGAGCAAATTTTTCAAATATTTCGACAAAAAGAGACCAGAAAACTGAACATTTAACAAGATAAATATAATTGTTTTCGAGAAAAAAAGGCCTTCAAAAACAAAATGTTGTCCAAATTCGACCAGTTGACCTAGTGAAAACGGAACAAATCCAACTTTTCTAACCTGCAGGAAACTTTTTTTATCCCGATTTTTTTCCCATCCATTACGATCTTTTTTCTTATTATTGAAAAAAAAAGATAACCGATCTCCCTACATACTTTTCTTCGAGTCGGGAAAGGCGGCGATGGATCTTTTTTAAGATAGCATAATTTTCTTTTATTTACAGTTTATTTTTCAATAAGATCTTATGCAAAAGTAAAATTCCATTTTTTTCTGCCGTTAATTTTTTTTTATTAATTCTATTTCTATATATTCATTCTATTAATAATTCATTTGATTATTGTCAAAATTTTCACAAAGTTAACGTAATGTAGAAATTGAGATCAGCATACATACATACAGTCATGTAATTTTGCCATAAGAAGAACATTTAAAAAAAATATGAAAATTTTGCCATGATAATTCAAGTAAAAGAAAGTACTGTAATAATTGAAGGTTTTTATAGCCCGTTGTTTTATTTTAATCCATTCCCAGGTTAAAAACAATGACCACAGTAATTATCAGTAAATCGCAGCATCGACAGTACCTCAACAGTAATTATCAGCAATTCTCAGCAACGACAGTACCTCAACAGTAATTATCAGCAATTCTCAGCAACGACAGTACCTCAACAGTATTTATCAGTATTTATCAGACTCAACAGTAAAAGGCAACAGTAATTATCAGTATTTATCAGAAACAACAAAAAATATCAGCAACAACAGTAATAATAACAGTAAATATCAGTATTTATCAGAAACAACAGCACATTATCAGTAATTATCAAACTTTATCAGTAAAATTTGGGATTCTCAGCACTTTTTTCGTCCAGTAGTGAATGTAGAAGGAGTTCAGGGAAGATGGGGCTTTTAGCATAAAAAAACGTCATTTTTCGACCCCCATTTGACCCCCCGGGGCAAAATCAAAATTCCGAAACCCAACTGCACATCTACATGACTCCACCAACCATCTCCCAAAAGATCATTAAGCTACTGTGTAAAATGTAGGAGGAGTTCAGGGAAGAAAAGTGTGACAGACGGACGGACGGACGGACATGAGTAACAACAATATACCCGAACTTTCTTTAGAAAGTGCGGGTATAATAATTTTTTTCCAACCGAGTTTTATTTTTCAAATCAATTTCTTTTGGCTTGGAGTCAGGATTTTTTTTTTAAATACATGTTTTTGAAGTTGATCTCTAAAAGAGATAGATATCTCTGTTTATGTTTAATAAAATGTAAAAGCAACAGCTATATTAGTTTGGTTTTAATTTAAATTGACCTCGAATATTGTCTAAATCCAGAAAAATGCTGAAGGTGCAAAAATAAACATGTACATATTCAAAGTCTATCACAGAAATATTAACGTCTTCTTAGTTTTATACTTAAAAAATGTTTATTTTTATAATAACAGTTAATAAGAATATTTGATGAGATATTGAATAAGTCATGAAGTATTTATATTTAATTTTAAGGGACTCCGACCCTCAGCCAGGAAGGACAACTCTTTGATTTATAATTTAATCAAAAAAGTCTTCAAATGAAGCTTGAAAATTTAATCTTTTCATGCAACAAATTAAAGATATGCCTCTCAATGTGCTTCAAGGTTCTTTGAACTTCTCAGAAAGGCCTAATTAAAAGTAGAAATTTTTATCCCGAAAAAGCATTTTTAGATACCAATGTTTATTAACATGAAATGAAATTAAAAGTAATTTATGGAGCTTTTGGAAATCGAGCAGAGAAATCCATAAAACTATTGAATTTGGCTCATCACTTATATTTAACTCTTTGCATGACTTTTTTCATAGATTGGTAATTAATATATTTACACTTAAAAGGTAAACTAAATGAAATCTTGTAGGTACTGTACGAGTACATTTAGATGTGCGTGTAAATGAGTCAAAACGTTCTTTTTTGGTTTAAAAATTGATGTATGGATTAGAAACTCTTCCATAATTATGTTACAAAAACAAATACCTAATCGAACGCTCTCACTTTCAGAGGACCCAACCAGATTTTTCGCCACGCATTTATAGGACCCAGCATCAAGCTCATTTATCTTCAATATGCAAAGAATTCTTTTCTCATCCTGCAGGTGTTGGTATTTATCGGGGATTTCAAGTACGGGAATGACGCTTCCGTTTTTTGACCAATGGATTGAATCTACGGGTGGAGAATTTTCAGTCGTGGTTATGTTACTTATTATCGTTACAGATCTTGCTTTCAGGTCAGTTATATGACCAATGGTGATCACTGGCTTAGCTGAAAAATCAGATTGCAAAATCATATGGTTAGTAAAACATAATGATAACCTTGAATATAAACTTAAAATGATATATCAGATTAATACATTATTGTGATTCAAGTACTTACAACCTGTTACTCGAAAACAAAAGGGTTACTCCAACCCTCCCCAACAACGTTTCTAACAGCAAGGCAATAAATACTTTCGTCTTCGAAATTGGCATCATTGATCACAAGCTTCGATGTCTGGTCTTCCAAAAAACTTCCTTTATATTTTGGAATGTGCACATCAAAATCCACAAACTGGTCATCAACAAGTTTCCCCCAATTCATTTCAAGAATGGGGAGGTCCGATTTAATTGCTGCAGAGATTTCTGATAGGTTTCCAAAACAAACACTTTCAGCTCCCGACAAAATCACACATGGAATGTCTGAGAAAATAATTTGAACACAATTAATTTAATGTCTTAATAAAGCAATTTAAATTAAACGTATTTGATAAAATAAATGCAATTCCGAGCAAACAAAATCAAGACTAGACTGATAAATTAGCACTTAGTTCATTTTTATCTTTAACAGCCTATTGTAGAAGCATGTCGGAAGTATTTTAGATATTTTTTTCAACAATAAGTGAGTTGATATACATACTCCCTAAAACTTTCAAATCGATTTGATCGGATTGGATACATATGTGACACGATTTTGTTTGCATTGTGGCTTGGTATTCTCCCTCATCTTCACGTGTGACCTTTCGAATAATAAGCTTCTTATTTGAACTGCCTTGATACTTTTCAGTTGTCCTATTGATTTCATGCACGATTGCACCTACTTTCTTCCTCCAATAAATGATATTGTTTGATTCACATTCAGAAGCAATTTCCATTTCTGCATCTGTCCCGTACCATACTTCTGTAGGACCACATATTTCTAGGACTGCTATTTTAAAAAGGACTAAATATTATTACAGCAATTTCATATATAAACGAGATTGATTTTTTTAGTTTAATATCTTCTCAGTTAAGAAGACTTATAACAGATCCAGTTCATATTGTTAGAAATAAAACTAGTCTTCTATTTGAATAAACAACTTTATTTATAAGGTTTTTTTTCAGAATAAAGATGGAGAAAGCAATTAATTTGATTTAAATCATAAATAATATAATTATGTTTCTGAAAATAATTTTTGAGTGAAAAAATTCTTATACAAATTTCTTTAATTTTCTTATTCCAAATATAAGCATTGCCATTCACTTTTTAAGACATAATCGCACTTTTTTAAGTATTTCATTGAAAAAGATTGATTTAATTGTATTTAAAACATATTAGAACTCCCTACGTATTGCAGACACATCTGTCCTATACCTTTAAATTCTTCAGATAGTTCAGTAATTTGATTTCTTATCTCCAGTAAAAACTGATAATATAATAAACAATCTCCTCCCAATTCTCTTTTCAAAATATCGTTGAGGCCATTCAGATAAGGAGTTCTACAAGAGTATTTTTTCATGTTTTTTTCCATTCTTTGACAGATGTTTTCAAGCGATGTCCATTGCGTCTTAAAATCGGAATCAGGTATGCATGGTTTTTTCAAATGTGCGAAAGAGTTGTTACGAAAAATTCTCAGCCTCTCAATATCATCCCCAAGACGAAGTTCATTGTTTGTTGGTTCAGATCCCCATCCTTTACTTGGTTTGAATGCCTTGGGACAGAGGTTTCGAAGAAGAGTGTAAAGCAAAGTAACGTCAAAACGTTCGTAATTTGGTATATTTGGAGGTGTTGGTATCGCATCATCGCTTTGATCTTTTCGAAGTTTTAAAGTAGCACACGATTGCACTGCTGCGGGTAAATTATGTGGCTGAATCTGACTCTCTAAAAGTATTCTAAAAATACGCGGTATTTCCTCTAGCGTCGCTATACTGAGGTGAATGAAGTTTTTTTCATCTGTTGTCAGAAGCGATAATGCCATTATTGGTCTATCTGATGAAATTAGACTTCACCTAAAATTTAAAAATTAAAGACTGTTAAAGTGATCTTAATAAAATATATTTCAAGTAAAATTAATTTATGCATTTTAATATCAAAGTCATCTTCTTCTTAACCAAACAATTTGTAAAGTGCAACGATTGAGTAATTGCGGTCGAGCAATAAATAAAATATTTTTAAAAGTTCGCGCTTTTCTTAGACATCCATTGCTTATTGTGGTTTGTTATAGATCATTGGTTATATGAAAAGCTTACCAATAAGTCATTTTCAAGTTTAGAATAAAAGAGATTAAAGCAAGGTAACAAGTATATATTTAAAACAAAAATCGACACTTTGCAAATAAGGCGTGTTGAATTTGGCACCTAGTACTTAACTGATTGATTAATTAATTGATTGTATGTTGTTTTACGTCCCGTTCTAGAGAATTTTTCTCTCACAAAAGTGAGTTTAAGCTAGGTATGGGCGTTTGTAAGCGAACTAGGTAAAAAAAAATGCATTGGTTGTATATTTATGCCACTGTAAATTTCGGGGGGTTATAGATTTTGTCGTGTCCGTCCGTCTGTCTGTTTTTCTTCAAAAACTCTAACCTTGCCCATAACATTTAATTTAGTGGAGCTTTGATTTTAATTTTTCACGTGTGTATTCCTTGTTACATAAACTTTCTTTGGGTACCATCACATTTGACCTTTTGACCTTGATCTTGGAGTTTGACCCATTTTTAAATAAAAATTCCAAACTTTTACTTTGATTATATTTTTTGAACAATGCATATAAGTACCAGGACTTTTATACTTTATATATGTCTTTTTTGAGAAAAGATCTTTCATCAGATACCAACAAATTTCACTTTTTGATCATGATTTTTTTTTATATTTCCGTTCTTTATGAATAAACTTTAACCTTGGCCATAACATTTAAATGGTTTAGAGCTTTCATCCTTCACACATGTAATCCTTGTGAGAAGATCTTTCATTTGATACGTGTGCCAATACCGTTGTCCTTTTGGAATTGACCTTAGTGTTTGAACAACTTTTGAAATTGGTTAATTTTGACCATAACTTTTGAAGGGTCAGGGCTGGGGCTTCTATACCATACATATGTATTCTTTGTGGCAAGACCTTTTATAGGATTTCAATTACCTTTTACCTTTTGACTTTGATCTTAGAGATTTTAAAATTTTAAAATATGAAAGTAGACAAAGGTTAAAGTTTAACCTTTGTCTACTTTCATATTTTAATTTTTTTCCCAATTAGAATACCCTAGTTGAGGTACAAATATATTAAAATTGCATTTAAGAAGAGTTTGATATTCGCTATGTTACAAAATGGGGACATCTGTGTTTCACAAACACATCTTGTTTACATACAGAGAAAGTTCCGTTTGATTTTCTTTTTCATACTTAGTGCCCACAGCATATTAAAAGTTTTTCCAGAAAAAGTATAAATTTTATTCATTCTGTCTCATCGTTCAATATATTTAAATGAAAAATGTAAGCACTATAGAATGTGTTAGATTGACATAAGAATAACGAAATTTATATTTGACCTGTAAAAGTAAGATAATATTTTGTTTTCATGTTTATATTTAAGAGCATCTTGACTGTAAAGTTCTATTTTTTTTCAGATTGACTGATTGCTTATTCATTTGAATATTTATCACCAATTTAGAGATTTTATAGAAAGAAAAAAAACAATGCAAACTTATGCAACATTTAATTAAGTTATGAATCGACTTTCTGATCATTATTTTTTATCACTTGAAAAAATTTTGTTTTCTGAATCAAATTAGAAAATTAAAAATCATTTTGGATTAGTATTATATATTTTATAAAGATATAGTGATTATTAAGGCATATTTTTCTTAGATATATAGCCAGTTTAAAACATTAGTAAACATTTTAAATACAAATAAACCTCTGACTGTTGATACATGTAACCAGTTTGCTGAATGGCCACTGAAGAGTTAATAAAAGCTGCCTTTCAGTTTTAACTGAAAGTACAACAAAATATTCATTAGCCGTGTTTTTGGGCACAATTCTTGCTTTATTTTAGATAAGTAGAGATGATCATGTACATGTACCAACCTAGTTCATTTCCCAGTCATCTTATGAAACACTGTTCTTATTACTTAATATATCATTATATCATATTACAATATAAATTAACATGTAGGTGATTAATGACATGAAATATTCAATATTACACGAACGGTCTGTCATATCTCTATGTTACGTTCCTAAAAAAATCTAGTTGTAAACTTAAGTTAACAATAGCTTACTATAGCAAACTAAACTACCACTTTGGAACTTTGATTTACTATAATGAAAACTGTGGAACTTTGATTTACTATAGTTTAAATTTTGAAACTTTGATTCACTATAGTAAAATTTTGAAACTTTGATGTACTAAAATAAAAACTTTTGTAACTTTACCATAGTAAAGACTATGGAACTTTTATTTAAGGAATGACTCTAATTCTTGGCCAAATTATCGAGTATAATATGGTTCGGGTCAGTTTACGCTTTATAATCCGCGAAGCGGATTATAAAAAAGCGTAAACTGACCCAAACCATATTATACTCGATAATTTGGCCAAGAATTAGAGTCATTCCTTATAATTTAATTTTAAAATAATTATTCAACTGGGGATGTAAACTTGTGTTATTTTTATGAGTTCAAATTTACCGCGCAATAATACAACCGTAGTAACGGAAGTGATATGAAGCGAGGGGAGGTAATAACTGATACATAGATCTAGCAGCAATGATGCTTGTTTACACGAGGTAAGATCGAGTTACTGTTTGAGGTGAAAGGTACATTCATTAATTCTGGAATTTTTTCATGAATCCCACGGACTGGAAATGAGGGGATTGATGGATACAGGTGATTCAGCTGGTTGTCAAGGGGGTGTGTCCCCATACCAAACCAGATTATACAAAATGTTATGCGTTCCTTTTTGGAAATCAACCAATGAGAGGCAAGAATACAAGCAAAATTAAATTATGTACTATAGTAAACCTTAGGAACTTTGATTTCCCTTAGTGAAGCTTGGAAATCTAATTTACTATAATTAAACTTTGGAACTTTGATTCACTATAGCTAACTAAGTTAAATGTCAGAAATGACATTGTGACAATGTTTAATATGCATTGGTCAATTGTGTAGGTAATTATCGGTTAGAATTGTCTTTATTTGGGCATTAAGATTCATTTATGGTCTGTTGATCACTGAGTTGTACGTCTTACTATATTTATTTACATACGAGGGCTGTTCAATACATAATGTCCTCGGTGTTCAAAAAGAAGCAAACGATGCTTTTCAATGACTTAGTCTTAATAACTTATCTTTGCAAGTGAGTTCAGATTAAATACGGCCGTTTCTATGCAAATGAGCTAATAAAAACTCACAATTTATTTTATGTACAGAGAAAGTTCAATTTGATTTTCTTATACATAGTTAGTGCCCACAGTATATTAATGCAAGTGCACATTATGACGTCATATCACGTCATATTATGACGTCATTGTTCTCTCCCATTCAAGGTAATAATACACATCAACAAAACTACGTCGGCGCAAGGGCATATCATATTGAATTTTAAACAATAAATGTATAATATTAAGGAGAATATTCTTAAAATTAATAAAATTGCTGCACAAGTCCTATGCACTTTCTCAATCGTTAAAAAGTTAAGAAACTTGCACTGGACTGTGTATTTTTACCCTGTTTAAACTTAAAACTGCACGAGTAGAAACTAAACAATTACAGTGCCGACATTTATGCAGCAATATCTCAAATCCTTGGAATATCCCGCCTCTTTTCCTACCTTGTTTCTGTAAAACAAAATAAGGTATGCCCTTGCGCCGAAGTGAATTTGGTGATGTTGATGTCTTATAAACTTTTGTAGTAGAGGTCGATGGCGTCATAATGTGTACTGGCTATCGCATCTCGTTGGTACCAAGAATATATTAGAAAACAAGTCTTAACATTTTCTGTGCGGTAGATAGAGCAATTATGGAATTTAAATAGATATTTTGCATAGAAACCTCAATATGTAGACTTAACTCACTTGCATAGATATTCTCCTTGAATTAAAACACTTGTCCGTAACATTTTTATTCAATTTCTGATTGTTTTTAGAACTAAATTTTAAGTAAGGCCCTTCGCATTCTAGATAATGGCAGATCATATGTTTTCCTAGACTAGTTTTTTTTCTTTCTAAAAAGTGTTTCTTTAAATTTGGAAAATGATCCAAGTCAAAGGGTGACGGATTTGGCGAACATTATTGTGTGAATAAATATTAACGTTCTGTTTATCCAAAAAACTCCTTTACTCTCTTCATGAGTTGTGGGTTTGGACGCTGCCATGAAGAAATCAATAAAGTGTATTCCTGATTCTAGTCCTTCCTCTCAAAAACCTTTTGATTTTTTACAAAATTGTTGCTCTCTTAACTACTCCAAAAATCGAACTGCCTTTTCGAATAATAATTTGAACAACAAGACCACTAATATTTAAGACAAGAGACCCACGGGCCTTATAGGTCACCTGAGTATCATGTAACAACTTTCGAACAATTGAATTTGGTTCATGTTTTAAACCAGAGGCCATGAAATTCACAATTTTGAAAGAGGCACCACTGCTTATCATAATTATACACTTAGTTTACTTACTCTAGTTACTTAATGCCCAGAGGTAGATCAGAGTAATAAAGAAAAAATGCTCTTCCAACTTATAACCAGTTGTGCACCCCACCCCAATGGAATTACTGACCCTGAGGCCACTTATTTCAAAATTTTCGAAATTTTATCATAAATTTTATTTCACCATAAATGGTTGATTAATACTTAAGAGCCGATTTCAAAGCATTAATTTTTTTTCAGACTATGTAACACCCCCCTACCCCTGACCCGGGGGGGGGGGGCATGGAATTCACCATTTGATAGGCACCTTTTTTCATCATAGATATATATACTTAGATCATTGG